CACACAATTTGATATTTTCTAAAGAAACAACAATGGTTAGAACTTAGGGGGGCTCACAACCAACCTATTTTTGAAAATGAACCGATACTACTGGTTTCTAGAAAATCGATAATCAAAAACGAACCGAAGCCGATCGGTTAACTAGTCGATTGGTTCAATTATTGGTTTTTCAGTTTTTTTATATTTATAGTATATACTATAAATAAATATAATAAAAAAATTTAAAAAAATAGAACAAATTTCTTAAATTACCCTTATAATCGAGGAAATTAATTAATTCTACCCTTACTATTTATGTATTTTCTTAAATTAAATTCACAAATTTTCTGACAATTGACATTGTCGGTAACACTAATGAAACAAAAAAAAATCAAAATGTCAAAATTTTCCTTCACTGTTCCTCAAATTTTCAAAATAAAACGCAATTGGATGAAAAAAATCAGAAAAATGGGCTCCTTTGGCATCGCACTTGTGGCAATCCGGGGGGAAAGTTCCATTGAAGAAAAAATTGGCATTCAATTGGGGCGAGAGGTAGCAGAAATTTGTGGTGAAGATCTGAAGTAGACGTAGCAGATTTGAGCGGATCTGGTTTTGGTTTTGGGACCCGTGATTCCTCCTCCTCGGGCATCAATGGCTGGCTTGAGACAACTCCAAAGTTACTGTCTTTGCAAGATTCACCATACTCGGCCTTCCCTTCAGTAATCTTCTCATCGTCGGCCTTCCCTTCAGTAATCTTCTCATCGTCGGCCTTCCCTTCAGTAATCTTCTCATCGTCGGCCTTCCCTGATCATAAAAGAAGAGAGATTACAAAATTGAAGTGTGGAGTCTCGGACGTCGGTTGCAGTTTCATCCATGAGTGCCTTTTTGCAGCCCTCCTCGTTTGTTGGTGTTACTCTTGCTAAATCTGCTAAACCAACATGAGGAAAATCTGCATCATTGATCACTTCCACCGTGAAATTCATCAACGATGGATTCTCTATGCAACGATCCAGCTTTCTCTTCGGGTAGAATCCCTTAGCAATGTTATCTAAGGGACGGTAACCTGAGAGGCAGTCCAGCTGACTGTCTTTATCTGGTGAAGAGCAAATCCCGTACACCCCCGCAAATAGCATTCATTGTGCAGGACAATTGCCTCAGAACCCAGGCAACCACAGATGATCCTCAGAAAGTAGGGAAAGAGATGGTCCCTTCCGCCTTCAGCTGCTTATCTCTACCCCCGCTGGCTCCCATTTCCACCTCTCCTGCAATCTCCTATCTAAATATTTCCAACCCTAAAAAACCTCTTCCTTCTCCTTCTTCTTTACCAATTAATAATCTGAACAATACCTCCCATTCTGATTCCGAGACACACAGTCAAGTTTGAAAATTCAAGGGTAGCTCCCAGTCTGAATCAATGGTCTAGGACTCGTTCTATACGCGTTGGACGGAGATTAGGCCGCTCCCTAAGTCAAGGGGCCACTGATATAATCTCCCTGTTGTGGGTGGGGAGGGCAGCCTCAAGTGCTTCTTTTGATTTCGAGATAGAGATACAAAGAGACCAAGGGGAGGAGAGAGAGGGTCAGAAATAGGGCAAAATAGATATCGTCAAACCGGTAAATGGAAAGGACTATTATTTTGTCAATGGTGTAGCATATGAGCGGTATATAAATAGTAAGGTAAAGTGAGCTAATTTCCTAAATTATAGGGGTAGTTTAAGAAATTTGTCTAAAATATATATAAAATATTTTATATTTTTAAATAATAAATAGTATATTATATTATAAATACATGTTTTATATATAATGCATATTTATTAATTTATAATATATAGAAAATAATATATATATATATTATACATAAATATACATATAATATATAGAAATATATGTATACTGGTTGGTTTAGTTAACCACTGGTTTTCTATATTAGTTAACCAAAACTAAACCGACTGGTTCGGTTAATCGGATTTTTTAGTTTGGTCTCATTGGTTCGATTCAGTTTTTTAGTTTTTTGGGTTTGTTTGCTCACTCCTAACAATGGTACTAAATGTTTTATTAATAACTCAGAATTTTTGATAGAAAAAAATATATATTCTCATAAAATTTATATTGATCAACCTAAAATGTTACAAGTAGAAGTGGCAATGGTACCAAATACAACCCAAATCTTACCTAGTCTGCATTGCTCTACCAAAAAATACTTGGTTTTGGGCTTGAATGTAGATCCCCCTTCTCCCAAATTTACCATGGCATGAACTTCCATCAAATTGCTCATAATGCAAGGCAGGTCTATGGTAATAAAACATAAATTTTGACTCTAATATATATATATATATATATATATATATATATATTTTTTTTTTCAAATTGATAAAGGTTCCCTCATGGCCTCATGTATAAACAAATTGATTTCATAGTTTCAAGTTTATTTTATGGCCGTTTATTAGAACACCCCCTATAGTTTCATGAATTTACTCAAACCTACACTATAATTCATTTACTTAACGACCTTTTACTAAAATGTGTTTGTTTTGCCATCTGAAAATAGTAAATTGATCACCTAAACTGAATGAGAAAACGTTCAAGGGCATGGGTCAATGATTGTTTATTCCAAAATTACCTTTAATACTTCTCTGTACATAAAACAAAGTTGACCGAACATAGCCAAATAGAGTGGTTGCTCATGTCTTACTAGGGGAAAATTGGTATTTTCATTTTTATTTTCTTTTGACTAAATTTATTCAAATTTCAAATAGACATTAAGGCCAAAATTGTCATTTTTCCAATCATCTAGTGAAAGCCGATTAAGTAAATGGATTACAAATTTTATGGATGTTTTAACAAAACGCAAACTGTAGGGTAGGTTTTAGAATGTGTTTGGAAGCGTGGGTGTTTCTTCAGTAAACGTTGTCGCATAGGTGCCACTTCAGCATTTCTCCTCTCATGATCTTCCGTATGCATCGAGAATAGCAAAAAGATGACTTCGGTTTCTATGCACACCTACCGTTTAGGGAAGTTATTTTTTTAAAGCTTCCCCCAACGGTTAGGCGTTTTTTCACTATTGTGCTCATGTGGTGCCTAGTGGCGCCTAGTTGCCATAAACGGTTGCAATTATTACCTTTCTCGGTTTTGCAAGCAAATAAAGTACATGTGGCTTGAACTTTCTGACATAGTTAAAAGTATACCTCTTTTGTTAAAATCCTTTAACAAGATGAATGAAAATGTACAAAATTATCCACATGCAATTATTATTTAGGCCAATTTCTTCAAAAAGAAAAGAGAGTTTATAGTTGCAGTTTTATCTTTGATCAATTGAGAGGAATGACAAGTTTGAAAATAAATCAATTTTAGAAAAGAGATTGGAAGGGGTAGGGGTAGCGAACTAGCGATTGATATGAAGAGCAAATTTGGAAAATAAACATTTTGATCAAAAGTAAATGAATGGGTATTTTGGACATTTTTTGTGCCTCTTGTTAAAGGATTCTAAAAGAGGGAATCTACTTAAAACTCAAAAGTTCAAAGGAGATGATTGCAATTACCAAACTTTGGGGAGGTTTCAATAATAGTAAAAAACTTTTGGGGAACCAATCTTGGTTGGTCTTGGAGCCAAACTTGCCTTGAAATAAACCCCAAAACATTTATAAGGATGTAAAGATGTGAATCAAAGCACTCATGGTTACAAAAGCCATGGTCTCTCTTGATCATTGAGTTACTTAATGAGTTAGTTAAGTGATTTTATCATTTGTTTTTATTTTAATATTTGAATGTATATAATAGATAATGTAAAAGGAATTATTTTACAAAAATTTAATTACAATGATAAAATTTGAACTATATATTAATATATTATGATGACCTACATATTAAATTATTCAATTTAATCAATAAAAATAATATAAGTTATAAACTATATATTTTCATTATTGAAAATCATGTTTTAGTTTATGATTTTCCAAAAATTGATGATATTGGTTTGGTTTGAAAAATAGATCCATAGTTTGATTAACTGAACCGTAAGCACCCCTATTTTCTCCTCACAGATGTTGGAGCCGCAAAAAAACATTTTTCTGAACTTGTATGTTTTCATTCATGTGGAGACATGTTTTCAAAACCGGACCGGAAAACTAGGAATCGATCACTTAACCAGTTCCATTTTACCCAAAACTGCTATTTAGCAAAAAAAATGTTGATTTAGTCAACGAATTGCTAACTTGGGCGGTCGAACCGTCAACCCATTCGACCTGAGAATGGTTTTTAGCTATTTTTTTGGTTTTCTTTAAATTTTAAATTTTTTATTAAAGCAAATCGAACTGTTTGACCTAAGAAATAGACCCAAAACAGTTTCCTCTCGGGTTTGTGTGGAGATATTTCTAATGCTCACTTGAAGTGGCGAAGTAGGTATGAGGAATAAATCGCAATTCTAGTAATTGGTTATTAAGGGGTTGTTTTGAATTATTTAGTTTCAATAGTGTTTCGATTTACAAAAAAAAAGAAAAAGAAAAAGGAGCACCACCCGCTAATTATGCACCATTTTTTTAAAACACATAGAAACCCTATTTTAAGGATATGCATTCTGATTGGGCGTTCAAAGGTGCTTTTATTTTATTTTTTAAATATTTACATTATAACAAAGAATATGACAACTCAAAGCATACTGTCAGCCTTTTTCAAACCCTCCATCTCACCAAACCCAAGACATAATCATTACTCCAACCTTTTTGTAAACAATGATTTGTCAAACGCGATTAATAGGCGTTTCCGTTTTTCTTGAAACGGAGCGTTCATGATTCATGAAACGCATCTGTGCCAACTGCCAACTCCAAGGCCTAAATTTTGTAAAATCCAAATCCATCTGGCCCAATTCTTTAGGAGGCCTGAGAGAGGAGAGAGAAAGATAGTAAGCCCAGGCCTGTCCAGGCCAGGATACTAAAAGAGGTCCGTTCAGTCGCTTTCGATTTTCAAATTTCAATATCCAAAGCAGGGGTATTTTGGATATTTTGATAAAGAAGAGTGGCAAAGTTGCTGTCTTCCTGCACTGGATCGAAATCGACCCCATTACACGCTGGAGCTTGGTTCCATTTCCTTTTCGATCTGAAGCAGCTAGATCTCATTTTCAACTCTACATCCCGAAGTACGTTTCCACAGGCTTTTTTTTTTCCCGCTCTTTTCAATACAATCTGAACCCGTCTTTTGTTTTGTTTTTTTTTGAAAAATATGGATATGTTTATGCGCATTCTGGTAGTTTAGTTATTTTTTTCTTAATTTATTTCTCTGTTTATCTTTGTTTGTTTGGTTTTTTTTTTTTTTTTACAGAGTGATGGTCCTGATGGATCTGCTTCTGTTTTTTGAGGATGCATTTAATTGAAGGTTAGAATGAGTTGTGGAGGTAATCTAATTTGTCTTCTTTTTTCCTGTAAGATTAGTCATTTTTTAGCTTCTTATTTCTTACTTTTTGTGATATTTGTAGATTAAGTTTGTGCAACACAGTAATATTTCTGGGTTGGCCTTTGAAATGTTGGTAAATGCTTACAGTGTTCAGTGGGTATGGAAGATTCTATTTTTTTGAAGATTATGTTTCGTTGATCTCTTTGTTTCAGCTGGAAAGACCGAAGGACTATATCTGGTTCTTGTACCTGAATTTTTGTTGTATGCAAGTCATGGAACATGGAAATGTTGATTCCCTTATCATTCTGAGACTTGGTTCCTCTCTGTTCTCATCTTTGATAGTTGATGCTAGTTGTACATTTTTCGAAACTCCTAAGATAGTCATTGCATAACGACTCTATATGGAGGTCAGGTTCCTCTTTAGATCTATGAAGGGGATACGTCTTTGTATTTTCACGACTTCACGTTATGCTGAATTTGTTCGTGATGCCTGTTTGATTTTCAAAATCCAAATATATAGGTCAAGCGAAGACATTGAGCATGGGAGAGGATTGGAAGTCGTCCATTCAGCTTGGACTTGTTAGGTCACCTTTAGTGAACGTTTTATGGTAGGGAGCTAATCCATTTTCCAGTAAAGTTGGACATTTTTTATTGGATAAAAACTGGAGGTGTAATTCCAGAGTAGCATGGCCCAATACTAGTGGAATCGTGTATTTGGAAGGTAAGAAATTTTGCAATAGTTAGATTCAGTTGAATCAACTGTAGCCCTTGGTAGGTGGAAATAGAGAGGGGGAAGAGTGGTTGGAGGAAAGAAAAGCTGCAATGGATTTGGTAAAGGTGGGGGGCAGAAGAAGCCACTGAGGGGAATGGGGGAGAGAGGGTATTAATAAAGATACATGGATAGGAGGTGAAAAAGGTGGTTCTGTTGCAAAATGAGTACTTCTAATGTACGTCAGTAGGTCTTGATGGCCTTTGTAGGACAACACAGGTGAGGTGGTTGAAAAATAGGAGTGGTGAAGATTAACTTTTCTTTTCAGGTTTATTTCAAGAATGCAATAGAGATTGGGGTCATGACTTCTGTCTTACAAAGAAACTGAAGAATCTTTGAAGGAAAGAAGAAAGAATATTGAGCTTTATCTGATGATAGTGGATCCATTATATTGAATTGGTTGCTTGTTCGTCTGATTTTCTTAGATATTTTCTTGTTGATTGAATCTCTTCTGGTTTGCATTTCTGGTCTTTTCCTGGTTTTCTTATCAAGGATACTTAGTTGATTAATTCCTGTAACCCCAAAAACTCAATACGTATTTTAGCCAACTGGGCTATTGAATATATCTAAATCTATATATATATATATATATATTATTTATATTTATCAATGGGCTGTTGAAAGATGTACTTAAAAAGACTAGCCAAACACCCCCTAAATGGTTCTACAAGTGGTTTTGTCAACAGCCTCAGAGGTTGAAGTTGTTATTCAATCACTATTTTCTGATTCTGCACATAGACATGATGAGTTAGTACAAAGAATGCTTAACAGTTGAGTGAATTCATGATTTAAATATACTCTATTCTGGTTTCTATATAAAAATAAAAGGAAAAGCAACATATTCTACAACATTTTCATCTCCGATGATTTAGCTACAAACACACACACTGCATATTGATGATTGAAATTACAAAACTATAGAAGGAGGGTTTCTATTGTGAGATAAGAGTTCCATTTTATACATTTTCGATATAGAGCCTTTTTGAGGGTATTGTTCTCACATATTATACAATGACCTTCTGTTACCAATAAAATTATAAAAGAGCATCAGAATATTTTACCTCATGATTACACACTGGTTTGCACATTGTTAGATGCTACTGCAATCTATTGTTTTAAGGGTTGTATCAATCATTTGGTCAATCTCTTTTATAAGATGGCTTATCCTGTGGATTAAAGTCCTTGAAGAGGTATGTGTGCCTTTTGATGTTTCTATTGTTTGATCAGTTGCTGCTAATTCTTTCTTTTTGATTGAATATTTTTGGTTATAGGCTGATAGCAAGAAAAGAGGTCATAGAGGCTTCTCTTCCCTGGTTATTTGCCACTTGTCTAACTATAATGCAAAGGCAAGACAAGAACAACGAAATATGCTGAATGATTATAATCTTGTTAGGGACTCCTCAAAGTTACATAATGGAGGCGATGGAGGATTGGCTGCTACTAATGTAGGGGCAACTGTTCTGATACCAAATTGATGAAGGATCAGACTGGAAAGTTGGCTAAGTTTAAGGCCAAAGGTTGAGAAGAAGTATAGGAAATTTGGAAATATTAAGGTTTAACGCAAGGATTTATGAAAACTTGAAAATCTATTTTCTTATGAACAAATGTGCAGGCCAATCCACTTTCAGAAGGCTAGGAATATCTTCTTTGAGGCAATAGCAGCTGAGGAGAGAAGAGACTGAGAGAGAGAAGAGGAGAAAACCAGGAACCACTCAACATGGGAGCTAGAACAATTGTTGGATCTGGCAATCAATCACCAGATTCATTAACTCAGAAAAAAATAAAAAATACTCAGATTTTCATTTTTCAAAGAACAAAATAAGAGTATATATAGACTTTAGTTGAGACATATTCATAAGCAATTAGTTTTATTTTTTATTTTTTTGTTTTTTGTTTTGTTTCAGTTAATCAGATGCTTGTTTCCTCTTCCACTTTTTTCAGCTGCTTGTTAATGTTTGGTGATCAGCCCACCTTTTTTTCCCTTTCCTTTCATCTATTTTCTTTCTCTTTGGATTATAAGTTTAGCTTTTCATCTCCTCATCACCTAATTGCCATCTATTTTTAATCTACTTAATGTATATCATGGTTGCTTTGAGATGATGACATATATACCCACTTAATGTCACCTACCTAGAATTCATTTCTTTGCAACCAAACAAGACCCAACAAGGATTAAAACATGAGTCTAGCATAGCTAAAAACTGAGTTGTTCCTATAATCCCAAGTAAAAAATCAATGTCACCTAACCTTTAGCTTTGGTGCCATTGCTTGGTGCAATGGTAAAACCTTGGGCTGACTAGTGTGAGAATTCCAGTTTGACTTTGAGAGCATCCCCTTGTGCAGAAAATGCTGAAATTTAGGTCCATATTTCATTGAGTAATGGCCCTTTTTATTGTTCTAATATGACTCGACTAAGTGAATCTTAAGGCAAGGACTCACAGACAATATTCAAAATGACCAGAATACATTTCTGCCTACAAAATATACAACATACATAAAAAAATTCAAAAAATCCACTTGGTTGACTATTTGGCTTCTCCATTAGGTGTGTTCAATGGTTAAAAGTTATATTTTTTTGTGGGGTCACAATTGTGTTCAGCCTTGGAGGTTGATGCTTCCAGTTTGAAATCATCAACCACTTGAGGTACCAAAGGTAGGGAGAGGAATTAGATCTACATGAAGAGGAAAAGCTTGCAGTTAGTCCTTGGGTAATGTTAGAGAGCTCTTGCCTGTATGAAGAAAACCAGAAAGGAAAATGCTGGTTTTGAGTTAAAAGATCATATCCACCATGGACAACTTATTGATCCATAGTTTTCAAGGTTCCTAGGTGATAAAATCTGAAAATAGGAAAATCATAAATCCCTACCCCTCCTAAGCTAGTAAATACTGAATAGGGAATAGTTATCTGGAATTCTGAATCTAACTAGTTTAATTGTATGCAAGTAAGTAGCTTACCTCAAGTCACTTGCCAATTTGTGCATGTTGTTCTTTCTTCAAGTATGAAGAAAGAGAATAAACGGAGTTAGAACTTATGCAGTAGAAAAGTTGGAAAAAAAATAAAAAAATAGAAGGAGAAAATTTGGGGCGTTGCCATGTTTTGGTCCAAGAAGAAGAAGACAAGGGGTGGTGCCCCTGTTTCAGATCAAGAAAGCAAAGAGAAAAATGATAAAATGAAACAACAAAAGGAAGAAGAAATTAAGGATGCAGAGCTCCTCTTTCAGACTGACTACCTTTGAGGACAAAAAATATGAAAAAATGCAGGGAAATGAAGAAGAAAAGAAGGGGCAGAGCCCTTGTTCCATACCATCTTTGGGGAGAAAAAAAGGTGAAAATTTTGCAGGTAAATGAATGGGGGGGGTGGCGTTAGAGCCCCTCTTTCAGACTTCCTTTGAAGATAAAAAAGGCAAAAAGGTTGTAGGAAAATGAAGAAGAAAATAAGGGGCAGAGCCCCTGTTTCATTCCGAAAAAATCACTCAAAAAACATAGTGAAAAGACAAAAAAGAAAGAAGAGGACAAATGTGGCAAAGTCCCTATTTAGGAAGAAAAGAAATAGAAAACAAAGAGGTTAAGAAGAATAAGTGGTGTAGGGCATACTGAAAACTGAAGTCCATTGTTATGCAACTACAGGTTGGAGTTGGACTGCCTGTGAAACGAACCTGGCGTTGGAGAGCTCTTGCTCTTCTATTTGATCCTGGTATGAAAATAAAACCCTAGAAGACATTTGCTAGTATTCTTCTAATAGGAAATGGTGATAATATGTAATAGGTTCTATTATAACAAATAGAACTAACCAATAAAAAGACAAGGTTCGAAAACCACCTAGTTGCCTAGGCGTTACCTTGACAACTATGTGCTGGTCTGATCATATAACCATGGTCTTCGAGGAAGGGCATGGATGACAATTCTTGGCAGGACATCAAACAATAGCTCTTCTTGATACTTCCCTAACTTGAAGGTGACCAACGACCTTGTTGTAACCCTCAAGCTGGTTTTGTTGAAACTGACTATTGGGGTAATTTGTAATTCTCTTTAAGTTTATGGCTTATGCTTGTGTGTCCTTTTTAGGGTTTCTAAAATGAGAGATTTTGGTCTGTCAAAGGTAGAGACCTTTTCTTCTATGTATGCTGAAATGTTTGTTATAGAGTATAAAATAGAGTAAAAACCAAAAAGAAAAACCCATTCTTCTGTCTTTTTTTTTATCTTGTTTTTCTCC